CATCTGTCTCTCTCCTACTTGAGTGAGCGATGCGTCCACGTGGACAGCTGCTATACAATAATACATTTCCATTTACCTCCTTCTCTATATCCATACAAAATATCTATCAAACAAATAAAATTAAAATTTTCTTTTGAAAAATGAAACCATTCCATCAGTATTTTCTTATGACGTTGTCACGTTCAACTATCGTCAGTAAACCGACTTTACAGACAACCGATTTTTTTTCGGAATAATATCGGAAGTTTTCCAATATTAGGGAATAAATGTTTCTTTGCATGAAAAAGAATTGTCATGGACTGCACACCTACAATACATTCAAATGCGCATTAATCGAAGTATAACTTGTACCACTTGTACATGAATACACACACACGCCATTTATTTTTCATCCAAAAAAGGAAAGACTAAACCTTAAAAATGTTAAATGGAAGGCTCCTATCTGCTAAGAAATTCTTTTAACGTCGTCAGCGTCGTGGGATAATTTATCTCTGACAATAATGATTAGGTGCTATTGAGTTGTCGAAAATGTGGAATATAACAAAAGGTTGTCAGCGCTTAGTTTTATCGCGGAGCCATTCGTCTTGAGGTTCGAATTCATTTTAGAAAAGTTGTTATTAATCGTGTTCGTCACTTATCATCCGGCACCCTCTCTCTTTTGCCAATATGCCAATTCCTAAATGACATTCGCCTTTGTAGAAACGTGTCACGTTATTCCGATTGCCTTTTAAGGAATATTAATGGAGTCAATCGTGCAGACTAACTTGTACGAAACTTACTTAAAAACGGGTGTTAACATTTTCCAGTTAACCAAAAAATTGAGTTAGCATTTAGTAATCTGCAATCTGTATAAAAGCTGAGGGGAAGGAGCGGGGTAGGAAAAGCTGTTCCGCCCAATGGGAGGAACTGAGGAAACAAAAACAATTGGTTGTCTGTAAAGTCGGTTTACTGACGATAGTTGAATGTGACAACGTCATAAGAAAATACTGATGGAATGGTTTCAGTTTTCAAAAAAAAATTTTAATTTTATTTGTTTGATAGATATTTTGTATGGATATAGAGAAGGAGGTAAATGGAAATGTATTATTGTATAGCAGCTGTCCACGCGGACGCATCGCTCACTCAAGTAGGAGAGAGACAGATGTCGAACGCTGCCGAACGCGGAGGCCGATTGTGCCTCTTTGTCGCTCGTTCCGCGCTCTCACTTGCACTTCAAGCCTTAAATGGAACGCCTCAGAGCGAGGTAACGCCGCATGAGTCATGTTTTTTCGTGTTTCATTGAATTATAAGACGTTGTCACGTCAAAAACAAAATAAAAAATGAATTTTTGAGGTTATTCTAAAATGAAAGATTTCGACAACTTTACATAAAGGAGAGTTTTTTCAACTCCCCCCCCCTCACCCCTTTTTTTTCTTAACCTTAAATTTTTTTTGTATATACATCTTACCCGCTTCGGTGGGAAGCTTTTCCTACCAACCCGCGTTTATTTGGGAGAGTACCTCCTTATTTTAAAAATATATCCATTCTCATTGCTTATTTCATTTTGAAGTTTAATTCGCGAGACTTATAAATTAAAAACTGTCCACATTTTGTTTTAATTTATTTCTTAATTGCAAATGATATTTTTGCAGTTAAAATTAGTATGCGAGAAAGATATTAATATTAATAACCTTAAGACCGTTAAATCGTTTAAATGACTTTCAAGCAGATTTCCTCTAGAAAAAGAAAAATTAGTTTCAACGCTTTTCTGAATTATTCGTTTCCTTTTTCGTTAGAGTTAATGAGAAACCATAATTGAGTGGAATTAATATCCCGAGAAAAAATAATTTAATTGCTTGAACGGTTCTAATTTATAATTTAGGAATTCGGAAACCTGGATCGTCAGTTCATTTGAACGTAAAGTTTGTTGATACGAAAAACTAAAAATCAAGAGTAATTTTCTACTGTTTAAATATCTTAGAGATCTAGTGAAGGAATTTCCTTTTTTTTACTATATACATTAGTACTTGCGTATCATTAGATTTAGTTTTTACTTCTGTAGTAGATTACCATAAAGTTATCAAAAAGAGCTGTGTATAGGTAGGAACGAAGTTTTCTACGCTGTTCGACAAATACTGTCAATTACCACAAACGAAGAATTTTTGGCAACCGGAAAAACCTTTTTATATTACTTTTTTTTATATTTTGGAGTACTTGAAGGCTAGATTATAGTTGTTCTTATCTGAATATGTATCAAAGAATCTTTTCCAACTATAATATTACCTTGAAGAGGTGCACAAGAAAAAAACTTTCCTAAAACGCCAAGGTTTTAATTTTTAATCTATTTTTAGTTAATTTAGATTTACGAATCTCTATTGCAATTGGTATTTAAAATTTGAGTCGTTAATTACATGCAGCTGTGAGATATTAAATTTAAAATTCGTTATAATGAGGTATAATATACGTAACAAATTATCATAGTATTGTAAGTGTTGCTAATGTTTGTTTCTAAACTTCTAGTAGATATTGTTGCTTACCGTAAACATTCAATCTTGCCGAATGTGATGTTTTTCCTGCTCTGTTTTCAGCTGTGCAAGTATATTCGCCGCCATCCTCGATCATTACATGGCTAATGTTAACATGGCTAATGACGTCACCGTGAACTGTAACGTATTGGCCAATGACAAATCTGCAAATAAAAGGTAGGCACTATTAACATTTTTAATGCTAATTATTTTAAAGGCTACAATTTGTGTATGTACATGTATATCAGCAGTTCAGCGGAGGTATACTAAAACTTTACTACTCCAAAAAAAAAAAATTGAAATTGACATTAATAACATTTTAATTTTGTCTGGTGGAACATTTTCTGATACAGTAGAATCCGCTTATAACGACATCGAAGGAAAATGTCAAACATGTCATACTAAGCAGGCGTCATAGAAAGCATAGTCTTTGAAAATAAACAACTTTCTATTTTGGTCAGTTATTTAGTTTAATAGAGAGTAAAACTAGAAATTGTATATATTTATTAACAGAAAAAGAAAAAGAACGATGAATTGTCATATCAATATACATAAGAAGGGTCAGAAAAATGAGCGAAATTTTTATTAATCATTTGGATCACTATAGCCGGATGTGATTTCTTGAGAATCAGTCATAATAAACGATATGTCATTTTAAACGGAGTCATTAGATCCAAAATGTATATTAGCAGCTAAGCGAAGGTATACTATCAAAAGGAAACTTAAATAATTAAAATTGACATTAATAACATTTTAATTTAGTTTGGCGGAACATTTTCTGATATTAGTGAAAAATGTAACATTGTTATCTGTGTTAATTAATATGTCGATGGTACAAAAGTATCAAATTGGTGGAGGATCCGGGACGTGCTATAACTTCGTCGCCATGAGCTAAAATATTTTATCAAAGTTCAAATGAAGACTAATGGAGTTATATTCCGGGTAAATTTTTCCTGTAAGCATAGTTTCCGGCCCCTTTTAGAATGTTTGCTAAAATTAATGAATGATCTTAATACTTTGTACGTGCTTCATAAGGGTCCTAACAATGCGTCCCATAAGTTCAAATAAACGTAGATAGAAGAGGATCGCGTTAGGCTTTTAATGTTAATTTACGATATTAAGATCTAAGCCCTTAGGACTGTCGCTCAGTATTTTATAATTAGCATAGCTCTGGCAGTTCCTTATGAAAACCACCGGAGATTGTAACTTCACCTCAGTAAAATAACACAAAAATTATACATGTATTCTTACGGCATATATTTCATTAAAGCAGGTGTGAGCCGTGCGACCGATCGTCCCGCAACTCTTTTTAAATACTTGGACCTACGCATTGCTATTAAGTACTTGTACATGAAGGTATAAGTAGGTATCGGATATTCGATACTGAAGATTAAATAATATCTAAAATTTATATTCACGTTGAAGTAGAGAAAGATGAGATAGCATACATGTGTCTGGGTGAATAAGGTCAGGGTAACTTTGGTTGACACGATCTTGTAGTGCAACTTTGTTATCTTTTGATATGTGGTGCCCAAGGGGATTCGCGTTATATTGGGACATTTGTACAGTGGATCCTTTTCCTTCTGTTGACTCGACTTTTCCTTTCTTATGTAGATTTTTGCTGCTTCTGTATATTTTACGGGTTTTCCAATCGGGATCGAATTATGGAGTCAAATAAAAAAAGCATAACTTAGTTTGTTATTTTGTTTTTTTTTATCGTGATTTCATTTTCGTGTTTTGATCTTTCTTATTATCTTTTGGTTGATGCTGTTATTATTAGATACTACATAAATATTTAATTAAAGAATTAATGATAGATTTTCTGTACTAAAGAAGACGCTTTTCTACAGTAAAACGGCCTCCATGCTTCATAATTTCCCATTTTTTATACATTACATTGACATTTACTATTCTCTTTAAGTATTTCTGATCAAATCTCCAAAGCCAAGTATCAAATAATTTTTCAATTTCCCTTAGAAGCGGGTATGTTTTTCAATTAGACTTTGATAATTGTAAGTCTGTATAATCAAAATTCATGTCGTCCACCCCTGCTCAGTATATTCAAGAGGTAAAAAAAGAACAATAATCAAAATACACTTTTAGTGTACCCATCAATTTATATTCGGGCAGACATGTATGAATTTCGGTCGAATAGCATTTGTTCTAACATCGAAATTAAAAGTGACGCGATTGATAGCCCTTGCGCGCATTGCGATTTTTTAGTCGTCGCGATTACAGAAAATAAAAAACGATGCGCACACTTGCAATCAAATAATCGCAGCTTTTAGTAATTTGCAGTATGAGCGTCACAGAAACAATGTGTATTGTGGCGTTGTTATTGCGAATAAATGCTAATGATACTAAAAGAAAGCAGAAGAAACAATTTGAGTCCCATCCTATCATAAATCAGAGATTAATAAAATGACAATTTTCTTTTTTCAATTTCAGATATATTTCCGTATATAAAACACTATATGACGTTTCTTCTTTCTTTGTAATAGAGAACCCATAATATGACGTTTGATAACCAGAATGTATTCATTAATTATGCATAACAGATGATCATTAGTGAGTTGCGACAATTTAGTCGCAAGTGCGCGCAAGTTCATTGCCATGCGACTAAATAATCGTACGACTAAAAAATCGCAGTGCGCGACAGGTCTTACAGTCAGAGATGTCGTTGCTGAAGCAATCCATTTTATAAAACTGGAAGCTGTGGTACGAGTACAGTACACGATGCGTTTATGATGGGAGTATCTTGTATTCAACGCATCCCGTGCACATTTGCGGAAAGGAATGCACTTGCACTAGCACTGGCTCGCTGCTAGAAACGATCATTGAGATCGTGTGAATGAACCGGAAAAAAGCAATGATGAAGATTAGCGCAGTTCGAGAATGCGACGTGGAGCTCTCTCGAGATAGACGGAAATTACGTGCTGGAACTGCAACCGTGCAGCCAGTCTGCTGTGCATCTGTATGTTGTATTGAAAAAAAAAACTGGTCGATATTTTCAGCTGGATATAGAACTGACGAGGATGCATGTGACCATTTTTATATTGTACAACCTGGACTACCCTTGCTTCGCTCTGGGAAAATTAGTTATCATTTCGGAACGTTCTCTAACCTTCTAGAAAATTCTAAAACCTTTTTGAGCCTATTAGATGTACGACATTTAGGAAATATCTGGGACATTCTGTAAGTTCTGATCGCATGTAGCACCTCTACTGACCCTTCATATGGAGCCCTTTGGGGCAATAGTCTTTAACCTTCATAATTTCAAAAACAATCCCTGTACCTGAAAACCAAAATTTTCTTCATGGATGGGAGATGAAAGGCTATTATGCCGTATAACCTTCATGAGACTACGAAATTCGGTGGAGGAGCTCTAGCGGCACGTATGGACAAACTACATTTACTGTTATTATGTACAAGTCGGATTTTAATCGGTTCGCTCAGGAAAAAATAGTTATCATTGGGGAGCGTTCTCGAACCTTCTAGAAAATTCTAAACCCTTTTCGGACCTTTAGATGGTAGTCATTAGAGAAGAATCTGTGTTTAACGTTCTGTCCAGACGTCGGAACTCAATTAACACCTTTACTGATTTTCTGTATGGAGTTCTTGGAGGCGATAGTCTTTTACGCTCCTGTATATTTGCAATCAACCGCTGCACCTGAAATCTGAAATCTTCTTCGTGGACGGGGCATGAAATGTTATCATATCATGAGTTATACGAGATTCGGTTGAGGAGGTTTAGAAAATTCTAAAACATTCTCGAACTTTGTAGATGAGGACACTAAAAAATGATGATGCTATAAAAATCCGAGATTTTCAGAAAAGGTTTAACAGAAGCGTTCAGTGTTTGTGTGTCTTTTTTTGTGGTTGATACAGTTATCTAAATTCGTGAAAATTACGTGGAAAATGATGATGTTTTTTGTTTGGCATTCAATTCTTCTCTTTGCTAACTTTTTATCTGGTTTCTTGTCATTCCTCTTATGATTACATTCCAACAAATTTCAGTGTAATTATAAGTCATCCGAACCTAAACTTTCTTCGCAATTATTTTATGGAAGTGTGAAAGTAATGTGGAAATACACATACGTATTTCAAGAAAATTTTGAGATTTAAAAAGAAGTTTAGAAGTAGCTCCTTTGAAGAGAATATTTTTAAAATTCAAATAAGTTAAATTTTTTGAAAATCTGCAATTTTCTTAATCAGCTCCTTTCCTCTCTTTAATGAGAATTGTCATTTGAATCGAATTATCAAAACTATGGTCGCAAAAATTGCTCAAATAAAAAACAAAGTAGGTATTTTATTTATTGATACGACGAACCGTTACAAAAAATAGGTGGAATCAATTCAATAATAATTGTGATTGAACAACATACCTGCCATTGCTAGGTAATGGAAATCCGTCGAGTGTCCAAGAGATTTGGGGAGTTGGATTCCCAGCAGCACTACACTTAAGCGAAACAGCAGGTCCCGGTTGGAGTGTTTGTTCTATAAAGCTGTATAGTAACACAGGTGGCGCATCTGTAATAAAAAGAAACAATAACAATATAAGCTTAAAGGGTTGCTGGGAAATCATATCGCAATTTGTATGATAATGTTTGTTTATGACTCGCGAAGAGTTGTGGAAAATACGGTTAGAAATTGCAGATTTCAGAAAAACAACAATAGATGCGTGAAATGCCATAAATGCCTTCATTTTAGCCTTTAGACAAATCGAATTTTATCCTACTTTATTAAGTGGATTAACAGATATTAGTGAACGAAAAAGGAAAGAAAACGGGTTTTTGTCTTTTTGTAACCGAAATCGGTGCAACTGGAATAGCCAATGATACGATTTTCTAATGTTAGTAGATGATTATTCAAAATCAATGGATGGAACTATTAATCAAATTGCCTGCTTTCGATAGTCAGCAAGTTATCGTTTAATTGGAATTTTTAATTAAAAACATTCCAATAGTATTGCATAATTATTGATCTATATGTTACCGGAAATGTATGAAATCTAGGAATTGTATACAATTCCGAGGCTATTTAGGAAATGTATAAAATATTGTTCAAAGATTTTTAAATACACACATATCCTGGGAAACGTATAGATACATTTCCTAGGAATTGTGTGAAATTCCGATATTGTACTAGAAAATGTATAGAAATAATGTTTTCTCTGAATAAAATAAATAAAACACGTTAGTAAACTGAGAATCAGAATTATCTGTGTTTATATGTGGTTCTAGTGTGATCGCCTGATGTATACCTATGCATTGGTGATATTATTGTTTGGTCAGGTTAGGTTTGGAGATGTATATGCATTAGTGACGTTATTGTATGGTTATTAGGTAGATTTATGACAGACTGGAGTTTCTGTAACGTCCTTGCCCTGATAGAGTACTTTATTCACAGAAAGCATTAGTTTTGGGGCTGATATGTTGAAATAATGTCTTCGAAAAGTATGCTTCATTATGATCTCCTCGTCCAACATATATATATATATATATATATGAAAATGATCAGTATTATCACCTCTACAACATATTAATTCAAAGTCAAAGCTGAAACAAAGATAACCTCGTCACATTATTCTAATATCTAACATATCAGCCGGCAAGGGCATTATGGTAACTCCAATCTGTCTTAAATCTCCCTAACCGAATAATGACGTCACCAATGGATATAGGTACATTAGTATTACCTGTAATATATTGCCGATTGCTATTTAGGAAATGTATAGATTTCCTAGGAAATGTGTCTAATATAATTTATTTCACATACTTCCGGGCGATTTTAGAAATTATATAGATTTCCTAGGAATTGTATACAATAATGGAATTCGTATATTTCCGGTAACGTATACATATATTTATATAACAGCTGTAAATGTTTTGCCCGGGTTAATCAGGCTTTCAGTTTGTCATTTTTCATCATTATTTTACACCTTCTTTGCTTTACGAACCTGAAAATTTAATTCTGTCTTGCCTTACTCACCGAACAACAACTTTGAAGAAGTTCTAAATTCTAATTCGTTGCTTTGTGCAGAGAGCGTAAATTTTTAATGGCTGCTAAACGTAGCTTTCACAAAGAACTGTTGAAGTAATCAACTAGAAATTGTTGAATTCAGGAAAAGTATTGTTGTAGAGAATAAAAAGAAAATCTTTTTCGAAATTCGTTTACGATATCCAGTAAAAAGCACACCTGTATTCGATAGCGACGGTTCAAAGATGGTATCAAATAAAAATAAAAATGACAACTACAAGCGTATTACTTCGATCAAGGCTAACCATTTTGTTATAGGGAGTTAAGATTCGTATTCACATACGATTGTTGTGTATGAAGAGAAATAAAGTAAATCTAATATAACAGGTGATTGGTGTTATACAATGTATATAGCAATATGCTTAAAAAGACCTAAGTCGAACAGGAATTGATTACAGGGTGTGATACAATAGATGACCAATTTTGACTCCATTTCACAGATAATGCATTTGTAAAATAAGATAGGGTTGTGTGAGTGATTTTCAAATCGAGGGGATCCTAACATTTTCGAATAATTCTAAAACCAGGTATTCGTAATTCGAAATTTTTGATGAAGATGCCGTGGCTAGAGAAGGTTAGAAATGAAGAGGTATTAGAAAAAGTAGAAGAGCAGAGGACTCTATGGAAGCCAATAAGAAAAAGGCAAGATAGGTTGGTAGGACACCTTCTTAGGCATGAAGGTCTACCCGAGATAAAACTCAGTTCAGTCTCTCAGAGTTTCTGAAAGCGAGACTCGAGTCTCCGTCTCTCATCGAGTCTGTCTGGTGTCGCTGAGAGAGACTGTCAAAAAAACTGTTTAGTGTCTCTGAACGAGAGACTCGAGTCGCTCATAGAGAGATCCTTATTTCGTATCCAGTCTCTGAACGAGAGACTCGAGTCGCTCATAGAGAGATCCTTATTTCGTATCCAGTCTCTGAACGAGAGATTCGAGTCTCTCAATTTTTCAGTTTTATTCATTCAATCTCTGTGTGAGAGACTCGAAGCAGAGACGCTGAAAGACTCTGAGAGACTGGAGAGAGACTGAAAATTTTTGTCTAGGGTAGTCAGAGACATGTTATAGTCAGAAGCGGGAGTTAGGATTCGCGATTCGCGTTTAGTAGTTTCAATTAGTGATGAGCAAAGCAAGAACAAAACCAAGAGTGTCCCAGTCTTGGTATTGGTTTTGGGCTTGCTTGTTAAATTTTGGTGTTGGTCATTTAACCTCATACATGCGAGCTTGTCATGACTTTTAATGAAGATTGGGTCGATAGTTGTCAGAATTATGAAGATTCGAGAACTTACTCTTTCTCCAATGCATAAATTCACCCTTCCTTCAACGAATGAATTACCCTTTAAGCCAACAAAATAGTGTAAGGTACTTGAAAGAAGTAAAAAAAACAATTATATGGTTTTATGAAACCACGATGCAAGTGAATTGTAGGCATAACTGTAAATTTTTGGAAAATTATTCGATTTAAGGTATTAAAATTAAAATCGCGTTCTTAATCTTATCGTAGTGATTGGAAAATGGGAATGATAATTGGAAATAAATAGCAGACAAGATATCCAACTTTTATTTTTAATTTCAATCTGCGTATGAGAGTACGGAATACATAATAAATACAATCATTCAGATGATAGACGTATGTTAAAAACTAAGAACAATATTTATTTAAATCATTGAATCATTTTGAACTTCAGTTATTCTGTCAATAATTTCATATTTGCTTTGAGTTCCACAGTCGATAAATGTAATTGTCCTGCACTTGCACGAATGAGTGAGAATATAAATGCTACACGGTTAGCCCAATGCTAGCCCTGGGCGCCGCCATATTGGCCTTGGTTGCTCTGCCGAGTACATTTCAGTTTTACTCCTACTATGTAATGCGAAATGCGACAGCTGGACGATTGATAAAATTTGAGGCGATGTAATAAAAGTTTGACTTTAAAAATATCAAAAGAATGTTAGTTTTACTGTATATTTCAACCATGTATTATCCACACATAGGAACAAAGAACACTTACACCGAGGACATTCTTGTAGATCACTTTTTTCAAACAGTGGTAAAAATTCCTTTTTTATATTTAGTGTTAAAATGTAATATCTACAGCAAACTCAAAATTTGAAATACTAGAAATGTTTTTCTCCAAGAAAATAATTTATTAAAATTGCTTCAAACGGAAGTCATAATTTTTCATTTAGTCTTGTGTATTTCGGTCTCAGTTCTAGTGTTGATGTTGCTAGTGTAAAGACTGCAAGACCACGATCAATATTGCTCAACACTAGTTTGGATAAATTTCTAACCAAGAAATGAATGTTCTAGATGAAGATAACCCTCCGTTGCTAAAAGGAAGACATATGTACTTATAAAAAGTTTCAATTTTACAATTTTCAATATCCTGAAAGAGTGTCATAGTTAAAATTCAAGAAAGCCTTTGTTCGTCATTTTACTCGCTTCATTATCTCATCCTCACTCCCCTATTACTTTCAATTCTGATTTAAATTTCCGTACCAACTTAAGAGATTTGCATAATTATCGTCAATAAGATTATTTCAATGTGTTTAATTTATTCCGAGTTAATTGAATAACTGAAAAGAGTCTTCCTGTTTTTTGGTTCTATTCAACAAACGACCTCATTTTCTTGCATCTAACGAAACTGTCTAAAACAGCGAGCGTCGCATTTACGTTCGAGTTGGCGTTTCAAAAAACTTTACCGTGGCACTATAGCTGCATTAATATTTAAATAACTAAAGAAAATGCATTTAAGCGAAAGCGGGTGAGAAAATGTAAAGTTCGTAGCGAATTGTGAATTAATCGCGACTGCAGAGCTCCATTCGCTGCTTCTAAATTAATGAATAAATTCAATGTACGATTAGACAAGATGCTCGACGGTATTTAGATGTTTTTTGAAGATTGTCTAACTAAAAATTTTTTAAGTGAAACTTCTATATAGACGGGGTATTACGATTTTTTCTGTCACGAAAAAGCGTCACAGCCGCGTAAGGGGGGTAGACGGTATATTGCATGTAGAGTGGCGGAGATGGTTATAATGTGCAGCTACGCGGAGAGCGCGGAGTCCGCTAGAGTCCCGGCGGCGTGTGCTGTGCTCAGATGTTGCTTTCTTACATCTGCTCTCCACGTGGCTGGGCAACATTGCCTCTATTTGCGATCTGTGTAAAACCCAAATCATAATTTGCAGTAAACCTTTTAAAACAAAATATGTGCTGGGACACATAGTAGAGATGAAACTTCAACGGAAAAACGAATGGCAACGGACTTTTTTTTACTTGAAGTTTTACGGGCAAGTTTTCAAATTGAACACTTCACAAACGAATCTATTTGGAACCTAAGGACTTATGGTCTCAACCAGTAGCAGTTAATAAATAAATAACCGTTTGCGTTTATTTAAGAAATAAACGTGCTAGTTAATTGACTGTTTTGCACCCTTTTATATTCTTGGTTGCTGCTCGATGTACAAAGTATATTTATTGCGGAACCGTAGTCATTATTGTAGATACTCGTTCGAGTAAATATTTGATCTAACGATAAGCGAGGAATGCGCAGTGAATTGCTGTCAGTAGAATTTGTCCGCTTGTTATAAGTAGCACAATCAAAACCGCAAATGGCTAATACTTGGAACGGACTGCGACGGAGTTGGCATGATAAAGTTGCGGTTTTAACCCTGGCGTCGAAACTGATGCCACTTCCCATACGTTTCTCGTCCAAGACCGCGCTTACAAATGGAAATAGTCGACAACTAAATCTTTTCTATGAAACATTAATATTCTTAACTGTGGCATACATTACCAAAGGGTACATTCTACACAGAGAATGGTTTCATCTAGCCTCTCACAGTTACAAAGGCATTTGTAACTGACATATATACAGGCATTAATTAGAATATTTGGTAGTTTTCAAAGTGAGGGACTTTCAATACAGAGATAGACCAATCAAAATGTCGTTTTTGCTGGGGTTCTGAACCCAAATGTCAACAGCGGAACTTACGTACCCATATTAATAAGAATGTTTAAGTATTTGATCAGAAAATTTCTATTTTAGTTGATCTTATCCATTTTAGAATTTCAATATTATATCAACTTGCTCTTTAGATACTTCTTCGGTTTTGTCAGTAATTTATTAAGACTGTCTATGGCGTGCTGATGAGGTCAAATACGATCGAAACTGCGATCAATTTCGAAAAATTTCTGATCAAGGTTTTAAAAGTAAACAGAAAGTCCTTAAAATTGTATAACNCATTCTTCTTTCTATTGCTTGAATATTGAATTATGGGAGTTGAAATTTTATTTTTTATTACTAATGGTGTCTATTCATTTCAAATTCGGCAAAATTAGTTTTGCTAGAAGACATTTTCTTTCCACTCTATTGAGATGATTCACTTAGGAAGAAGAGGAAAACAAGGAATGGTGAAACGCTCGAGACATTAACTATGAATTAAAAGAATGTTATAAAGTCCTCATTGTTCAGTTTGGGCATACTCAAGTAATGCTAAAATTTATTAACGCATCTAATTCAACAATTTTCCGACGATGCTTACCTCCTAACTGTAATTCTGCAGCAGCTTGAGCGGTGTCGCCCTCAGCCCTTCTGACAACACACTGGTACATTCCGCGATCCTCTCTCCCGATGTTATTAATGACCAAGGTGTCACTAGAGCCTCTACCAGTACTAGGTAGTTGTCTACCATCTTTATACCAGGTTACCAAATGTGGACCTCCACTGTGAGACGACACGGAACACCGGAATTCCGCACTACCTCCCATGTGAATACTGAGCATCGGTGGAGTCACTTCAACATGTAGAGGAGTAGACACAATCAATCTGAGTTCCACACTCGCTTCACCGCCTGCATTTGAAGCTTTGCACCGATAAGATCCACTATCTTCGGGGGTTACTGCTTCTATAGCCAAAACGGGACCAAGTTGACGTGTTCGAGGACCTGACATTACTAGGCTAGGTTCTAAACCAGTGTGAGAGTACCACCTGCAAAAAATGAGACGATCGTGAAGCTTCATTCATAGTAAAAGTTTAAGTTTGATAACTCCCTGAATAAGTTAGTATCCTAGTTACCAAGTAGTTAGGATTATATTACAGAGTGTTGTAGAACCTAAACCTAGGTTTGCAATTTCGACAACATTATCGGTGGTTATCTCGGGAATGAAAAATGATATAGACAAGGGACCAATTGCATTCGATTCATAATAACGCAACTTAAAACTGATTAGGTTTTCAGCAAAATTGGTCCAGCCAACTCCATGCCATCCATTCGATTCCCATGTAGGTTCGCGTACTTTAACGCGACTATACTAAGAAATATACAAACCACAATTTTAGTAATCGATAGATATCGTTGCATATTTGTAACTACTTTTTAGTTCTTAACATTTCTTTATAAAGGCTTCTGCTATTTTCAAAACTAATAGTACGTTACTGTTACACAAATTTCATGTTCTATGCCTAAGCTTGTATATAACTGACAAATTATTAAGTCTGATGATGTCATTATGTGTTTTAGACCATGCAGGACTCTTTCTAAAGAGCAACTTTTTAACAATAAAAGAGTTTTCCATATGCTGCCAACTTAAATAGACACACTGTATATACACCCCGTACGTAACGCAAGATAAAACTGATAATAATTTTAGAAGTTGACTTCAAAGAAAACATTTTATTTCTGTAGAAAATCTGATTTATAAATATTATTGGATAAAATTCAAACATATTGATAAACAACTACGTATATGCATAAATATGTAGTACAAACAGAGGACGTGTATCCGCCGGGAACTAAACTTGTCTTGCATAATCGAATTTTAAATCTAACGTGGTTAGAAGTTTTCCTCGGCATTCCAGCGGCGTGTCGCGTCGCGTCGCGGGGTTCAAAGCAACGAGACGCGACGTACACAGAACACAAAGCTGATCCATTGCACTTCAAAGTGCTTTGGCGCGTCCCTTTGTGTTTTCCTATTATGCGATGTTATGTTATTCGGAAGGCGGCAGGGCGTATTATTATTATCAATAAAATTGCAAAGACTTACCGGTATTCAGGCGCAGGGCATCCTTGTGCGACACATAACAAAGCGGCGCCCTCATCTTGAGCGACGGTTATCGTTCCAGAGCTTTCGACTATCACCGGTGCCACAATGCCTCTGTGCTCTAGAAATAAAAATAATAAGATAAAAAGTTTATGTATAGTTTATAAATCGGGTTGCACGTGTATATATATAAATGAAGTAGGAAGATTTGTCAGTAATATGAAATGATTATTTAAAGTGAGTAGACGGAGAAAATGAAAAACGAAAATTTACTTAAATATCACAATTGAGATTATTACAAGTTACCTAATAAATTCTATTATTTTTACGGCAAATTCACGAAAATTGAAATTTGGGGTTGTCATACAAATTTAATTTTCCCCGTGTACATACATGGAATATAAAATGGATAACCATGCTCCATGCAAACTTATTCCGAAAGGAAGAAAGATTGAATTATTAGTGTTTAATTTTTTGAACTTCTTTATCGTACACTTCGAAAGTGAAATATGAAATGTATTTGAATGTATTCTGTGCTTAAAGAATAAGTATAAAATTCGTAGCTATAGTCGATGCAGATTAAACTTATACTTTTTGGGGTTCCCCATCAAAAAGTTACAGAATGTGTAGACATGACTAGGGCTTCATTTTTGTCTGCCATTTTGGATCTATCCAATGGAGAGAAATTATAGATATATATTTTCTCTCATCTCATCTCTGGTCATACAACATGTCTGATGATGGATCCAAAAAAGAAAACGAGAATACTCCCTCCTTTTAGATTCTTAGTATCACAGGACTTCCATGTTTATTCGTATATGTTAGCAAAAACAAATGCTGAACATAAACATACTACTGTAGAAAGTATTATAACATTACTATAGGATTGCGTGTGGACCAATTATTTAATAACATACGCCACGTTTTCTACCGAAGCGTATGTTCTAGAGCTTAGAAAGTTAGAGGTAGTTCAGAATCTCGCGGGTCATTATCTTGGATTGTGCAATGACAAAACCTTACGTTCACTGTCCGATATAATAATCATCAATTCTTAGAGGAAACTTAAAGTCATACTTTCTATATTACTATACTAAGTTGAATAATGTGGTACCGTCATTGGATTGTATAGACCATATGTCAATGTCGCAAAAACCATCTTCCATAATAACTACAGTAATACAGACAAAATACGTAAATATTATTGAAAGTTTCTAAGTAAGTAATGACATCTTGGAAGAGATTTTGGGTTATAGTAATTATTTAATGTTTTTAATGTTAAAACAGAAGGATGAAAACTTTCTGGTGTCTTGGTAGATATTTCCGGAACACCCTATACATATATCTGATTTAATTTATTTATATCTATATCCTACATCCTGGCAAAACTCGAAAATTGACCGATTTTTTGTGGATTAGAACTGCGATACGTTTATGCATAATAAACATCGCTGTATTCAGTAGCAGACGTTTTGAATAATTTCGTTGACAAAAATTCGTTTGAAAATTGCTGAACCACGCCGCCCGCATTTTACTCAACTGAAATATTTTGACACGGAATTTATGTGTCTATTTTCCATACCCTTATTTCTGGAGATGGTCCTTTAAAATTTTCAGATAGCTCGGGGTTTCGAGTGACATTCAGCTCAGTTTCCTACAAAATCCTCCTAAAGCCTTTATTATCATTCAATTCTAAAGAAACAATTTCAGATTTTGTGCTTTCACGTGAAGGAGATTTTTATAATCTGCCAGAAATAGCACACGTGTATTTTCTGATACGAGATTGAGAGGATGTAAAACGAATTTATTTTTTGTATCGAGTGTTAGTAAACAGTAATAAAAATCTGAACAGCCCACATCCTTAACTATTTGCGAACAGTAATCTAATTTAGGTCTAGCTCTAGCCCTTTTAACTCCCGTTTCTGCCTGTAATATGTCTTTGACTAGACCTTCATACCTGAGAAGGTGTCCTTCCTACCTATCTCCCCTATTTCTTATTAATTTCCATAGAGTCCTCTGTTCTCTTATCCTGTTTAATACCCATTCATTTCTAACTTTTTTTATCCGGTACCACCACATTTCGAACGCTTTTTTCTTTTCCGCCGCGCCCACCGTACATGTTTCGCACCTGTACAGCGCCGCGCTCCACACATACACCATTAACAAAATATGGTTAATCTAAAGAAGTTACAGTTTGTTGCATAATTTCTGAAGAAGCCAAAGAAACAATTGATTATTGTCAAGCGAAATAATAGTTGAAATTTTAATGTAGGTATTACTTTCTATAATAATTAAATTGACTCATTATGATAGCAAATAATATCCGGATAATTTATTAATATATGTTTGTTTGTTTGCGTATAATCGCATTCCCGAAAACGGTTCAAATAATTTCGAAGAAATTCACAATGTAGGGGTGGGTTTACGAAATGTATTAGAAAAATTATAAGAAAATAATTTAAGCTAGTGAATCCTTTATTTTAAGTGTCAGTGGCTAATGTTTCACGTAAATAAAAAAGAAAGAAGAATTATTTGTCTGTTTTCATGATTAATTTATGTAAAAATAAATTACAATTTTTATTTAGTTGAATTTTAACTTTACTTTCCTGTAATTTCAGTCCGTTGAACGAAATAGAGAAGTGTGTTGCATTAATAATATTTTGTACAAAACAAATATGTTTGTCAAAACTAATTCTAAAATCTTTTGTACATATTACACTTCAAATTCTACTGTTTCATGTTTAACTACTAATCAAAACAGTTTTAATGAAGATGCAATATTCTCTTTGTGCTTTATGTTTACAAAAGTATGTGTATATTATGTATGTACATGCATATGTGTTTTCCACAGGACCAAGTATGTTCATCAAAATTAATAATTCAATAACATTTGCATTGAAATAGGGTTTTTGAAGCACAAATTAGGACGACGTAAATATTAATTCGGAGTTTCGCTCTGGGGTCGCGTTCTTTCTGTTACCTAAATCGTATTTTTTAATTTGGCAAATGCAGCAGCTTCGCTGTTACAGAAACTAATTAGTTTCAAAAAAAGCAGGTCATCCTATAATCTAGCCAGATACCTAGGTAGATAGCTGGATAGTGTTAGTTTTCAGAGAGGCAGATGTAACCCCGTTCAATTTTGTAACAGGCGGTAAAAAAATGTCGATGTTTTCAGAGAGCGAATGGCAACCGAATGAAATTTTCAAAGCGAAGCTCGACTCTTAAGTATCAGGGCACGTGAAATTATGCTGCAATTTCGCTTTCGGTGAAAATAAACTGCAACATGAAAAAAGTGTAATGCTGACATTAAAAATTCCACCCATTTAATAAAAACATATGCAAGTTCCAAATTATGTTTAAATACTTCTATGCTCGCGAACGGTTAATTGGAAAAAGATTATTAAAGGTGTATGTTTGAAGCGCGGCACTGTACGGGTGTGAAACATGGACGATGGGCGCGGCGGAAAAGAAAAGGTTAGAAACGTTCGGAATGTGGAGTTACAGGCGAATGATGAAGATACCGTGGATAGAGAAGGTTAGAAATGAGGAGGTATTAGAAAGAGTAGGAGAACAGAGGACTCTATGAAAGTCAGAGATATATTAGAGGCAGAAACAGGAGTTAAGGGAGAGAGTAGACCTATATTAGATTACTTCCACTCTTTCCTATCCTGAGCTAATCTTCGCATTTTTCTAAAACTAGAACATCCCACATCCTTAACTATTTGCGCCAATCCAGGTCTACCTCTACTCTTCTTAACTCCTGTTTCTGCTTCTAATATGTCTAACTAGACCTTCATGCCTGAGAAGGTGTCCTACCAACCTATTTCGCCTATTTATTCTTTCTAATACCTCTTCATTTGTAACCTTCTCTATCCACGGTATCCTCATAATTCGCCTGTAACTCCACATTCTGAACGCTTCTAACCTTTTCTTTTCCGCCGCGCCCACTGTCCATGTTTTGCACCCGTACAGCACCTCGATCCAAACATATACCTTTAACAATCAGTTTCGAATTTCTAAATTAACCGTTCACGAGCATAGAAGTGTCTCCTTTTTAGTGAAGGCGACTCGACCGTGCGCTATCCTCTGCTTTATATCCCTACTACATCTTCCATCCCAACTTATCTGACTTCCTAGATACCTAAAATCAGCCACTTCTTCTAATCTTTCGTCTCCTATCTTTATATTCGCCCTTTCCCTACATTTTCTTCCCTTGCATGCCAGTAGTTTTGTTTTTTATTTTATTTATCTTCGCACAATATTGTTTTGTCAATACCGCTTCCATTTTATTTAAAGCTATAACTCCTCCTTGCTAGATGCTAATACCGTCGACTAATTGACCATAATGCAAGAACGATTAGTGACACATATTTGGCTTCCTCTACTGCGTATCCCGAAAACATGCTACATGTCAATTAGTATACTATAGCATATTTTTCGCGCTATACAGCACTGTCACTTATAATTCAGTATAATCTAATAGGGACACAGTGCTATTTTACTTACCTAGTCTTTGATTTATCGTACTTCCTGTTAACTAGTCAAATAAAATCAGCAATGAAATTTTGTCAACTGTTGACATACAATATACCGTCATCTATTATTCAGTAATTTATCGATATTGCCTATAGCGTGCTAATGAGAACAAATAAGTTTTAAATCGTAATCCGTGTCTGGTACTTTCGATAAGTTAAACTGTTATTATTATATTATTAGTTTTCAATTACAAATATATATATACATAGTTTTCGAATGACATTAATTTCGTTTGTTTTTATTCCATTAATCTATTTCTGTAGTGAACTGTCATATCGCTGTCAGAACTTTCCTGAAAGTTCTACATGTAGTGCAATTAAATTATTGAAACATATTGCTCGTACGATTTTCCATGCATTTCGAGTTTGGTGAATGCCAACTAGGATAACACCTTATGACAAGTCACGATACGTTTCCAGGTATAGGTAGACAGTTGTAGTCGACCGTAGTTTAGTAAACAATGTCGTAGTTGGATTAGTGCCAACCGTTTTGCTATTTATCTTGGTGACGTCTGAAACTTACCCCGATACATATTTGCATCATAATCCATTTCAGTTTGTGTCTCCACGTAGGTGCATATGCGTAATT